CTAACTTACCATTTGGATATTCGTACACCATGTATTCAGTCTGAAAGAGAATACTGCTGCCTTGTTTTATATGAACATTTATACACCAAGACCCTGGCAAGAGGCTGACTTCATTGGGATACGTATGGCTTAATACATCTGAATGATTTATATCTCGTTTTGTCTAAGCATCTATGCTAATAAATTTAACAGATTCTCAGTACTGCCTGGTCCTTCGTTTTTTTTCAGGGGGTCAAAGTCAGAGGAAAATAAAGGAGAGTGTTACTAAAGAAAGAAGGAAGAAATTGGCCCGATGGATTTAGAATACAAATAAAATTACAACACAAAATCTCTGATTATAGTTAAGCTGAAGTAACAGTCAAAAAAAAGAGGAGAAAAGTTCCTAGATCCAGGTAGAATTCTAAAATTATACTACATATCAAAAGGGACTTCACAAAAGATATTTAGCAAAAATATCTTGATCCTATGTAATTAAATCCAATGCTGAGGGAAAACTGACAACTATTAAACTGAGTGCAGTAGAGAGAGTGAAAGGGGACGAGATAAAATCCAGTCTATAAAATATATTCCATTATCTTTTATAGGTTAAAAAACACAAAAATACTTGGAAAGAATTTTCTAAGATGGAAAGATCTTGAGGTTGAGGATTTTTTTATACAGGTGCAGAATAAGTTCCCCTCCCCTTGGGTTTTTTTCTTTTCCCCATTTTCCCCCTGTTTGCAAAGTTGAATCTGGGGTCAGGAGTTCTAATTGTAACCTCAGACTGGAATTCCAGATGGTGCGCTCAGGACTGGAAGCAACTCTCAGTTCATCAATTTCATGGGCCTAGTATCTGCTCTGGCCACGGCCTGGCCTCTATCCCCACTGTGGCATTAATGCAGAACAAATTGAGACATATCCTCTATATAATTAGTTCCAGAATTTAAAAAGATTTACGGTATAATAATACAGGCCGCGCTGCGGAATCCTTTTATTGGGAGAGCTCGGGGACCATCTCGCGGTGGCATCACAACAGACGGGTAACCAGGCGGCTCCTGGCACCGCGAGTTGGGGAAGAGGGGACAATTTTGCACCGCTTCGATGGTTCTAGGCCCCAAAACTGGGTCAGAGAGGAGGGTTTGAACCGTAGATGGGAGATTGGTCAAAAAGATTCAGATACTTTTCGAATAAACAGAGGAAGTCGAGGAATGGGCTATATCACAAAAGCCCTTCCCATGCTTTTTAATTTTTTTTTTTAAAGAAATGAAATTTCCACCCCACCCCCTTAGCTCTGAGCTGGAGACCATGCAGCCCGGGGTGGGCAGATTTCTGAGCTAGAATTGACTAAGAGAGAAGAACAGCGGTTAGGCTGTTCGTGCTGCCCCTGGGGCTGGGGCACGGGCCCCTGGGAGAGCTCTAATCGAGTGCCAGTTCCTCCTGGACGACAGGCGGCCGAGAGGTTGAACCACTCTTCACGCGGGTCTGCGGCCCCGGGCGCCGGCTGGTAGACCCAGCCCTTGACAGATCGCAGCCCTCTGGCGTGTTTATTCAGTTGTCCGCGGTCGCGGGGTGACCGCCAGAGCGCGGCCCCCGGCGTGCGCGCTGGTCCCTGGGGCCGCGGTTGTAACTGACCGGCTGCGCGCAGTTGACAGCGCAGGGGTGAAAGTGGGGTTGAGGTTTTCACTGTCTCCGCCCACCTAGTTGCTACGTTTTCATCTTGCAGTAATTATGCACCTTCCAGGCCTGGATGCGTGCACTTTACCACGGTCTCTCCTCCCTGTACCATCAGCAAAACCTGTGGTTATCCAGCGCAATCAGCCACCTACCTTCCTATCTAATCCGTGACAACCCACGAGCTGGAAGCTACTCGCGTATTTTCCCGTTTGACCAATCAGGAGACTGAGGCTCAGAAAGGCTACATCGCGCATCTAGAGTCACAAAGTTGTGGGTTACCTGGCAAAGCTGAGAGTCCATTCTCAAGCCGCCAATTCCTTGCTCTTAACTACTTGCGCTGCACAGTTCGCCTTTCCTTCCTCTGTCTGGACCTCAGTTTCCTTCTCTGTAGAACAAGGAGTTTCATTTCCAGCTTTGCCCATTGGTAATTCAGACCCAAGATCCTCTTTGCTAAGGGTCTCGGCGCTTGGTAGGGACAGGAAGGTGGGTGAGAGTAGGATGACAGTCCAGTTATTCGCCGCCTTCGTTTCCCTGGGACCTTGGAGGGTCTCTCAAGCTGAAGGAGTTGCACAGTGGGCGGAAGGTGCGACCCCCTCCCGGCCTGGCGGTAGCTCCCGCCACACAGCTCAGAGAGCCTAGGCCAAACAGAAGAGTGAACCGTGGGTTTCCAGCAGAAAACGTGACCCAGGGGAGGGAGGTGGAGTGGAAGGAATGGGTGCCCTGTGACCCCTGAGGTTTATGGTTCTCCCAGCATTGGCTTATGGGTGCCTGGGTTACCAGGCATGGGGATGGGTGAGGGGGTGTTTGGGAGCCTCTGTCCAACCTGGGGGCCTCGGACTACAAGCGCTTCCGACGTGCAGCCGCATTTACTTCTCCACCGCTTCGGACTGCGAAGTCGCAGAAAGGGAGGTACTCTGGGGTTGAAATGAGGATCGAAATTCCTCTTTTTTCCCTCAAGGATTCTGAGAAAACAAGTGACAGAAGAGAGAAGGGTCCTAAATTGCTGGAGGCCCCTTTCCTCCCACCCACCTTTGTATGCCACCTAACTCCACCTCCAGACAAAACTTGACTTTTTAAAACCGAGGGAGAGATTTGTCTTTGCCCTACTTGGGATTCAAGAACCCAAGAGTTTGCATTCAAACCAGCCTCTCTCCAGATTAAACCTCCCCTCGCCACCTCCCCCCCCCGCACCGCCCCCCCTCCCCCCGGCAAAAAATATCTTGTAGAGTAAAAACTCTGTCTTGTCATAAAGCGTTCCTCTTTCCCTCATAGTGCCTGAGCCCGAGTTTAGAAAACGACTTCCAAGTAGAAATAAAGAGGTAGGAAGGAGTGTTGAAGAGATAGGGGTCTGGGACATTCCAGGGGCAACTTGGCTTGAGTTTTGTCCCCACCAAAACCACCCAAAATCTGTGTGCATCTGCCCAGCCTTGGAACCCCACTACAGATTAAGGAATGGGGGATGACGGAGAGGAGTAGGCAGAGTGAAGGGGGTGCGGCCTCCAGGGCCTTTCATTTCTAAGAAAGACAAAAGAAAGAAGGAGAGAAAGAGAAAGAGAGAAAGGAAGGAAGGAAGGAAAGAAAACAAAGAAAGGAAAGAAAGAAAGAAAGAGAAAGAAAGAAAAAGATTCTGAGTGGAGAAGCAAAGAAAGTCCGGCACCAAATGTAGCGTGAGAAGTGTCCACCACCACCAAGGTGAAGGGATAGCAAGAGGATGGCTCACGTCCCCCAACCTTTGACTTCAGGATCTTCTGCTCAAAAGAGTACGCAACCCCAAGAGGAGGAGGGAATTGGTTGCACAGCACTGTACATGGTGAGCCCGCACAGGCTTCGGGTCCGCAACTCGAACTTAGGGCGACTGTGTCTATACCATGCTAGTTAAAAGCAAAGTATAAACAAATGGAGAATAAATCAAGGTCATTGAGACGCTCGGTTTCTTTATAAAACTGCAACTCTCCTGATTGTTGCTTCGCGTAGGCTTGGCTGGAAAGCTGTAAGCCCCCTACCAGCCTGTTTCGGGAAGCCTGACTTCGGCCGCTTTCTGTCCCGCGCGCCTGGCAGTCCCAGGCTGCGCCATCGCCACGGCCTCTTGGCAGTCCTGGGTGCTTCCACGTGCCCTTAAAACGCACTTCACTCTGAGCTCCTGGCGCCTCTCCTTGCCTATGGGCTGTTTCCGGATAGATCCTACTACTTTAGAAGAACCCCCAAACAAAACCAACCTTCAAACACCTGTTCTAAGGCGCTGGGCTCCCAGAGGGAAGAGTTCGTTTTAAGGAAGCCACGCGCTCCGAGCTCCCAACCGTGCGAACACGCTTCTGGCTGTGGGCCAAAGGAGGCTCTCTCTGCCCCACTTCTCCGTTGGCCTGAGTTGCACCTCCCAGTCCATCACTGCGCATCCAGAATGGTACCCGGCTCCCGAACAGAAGCAGTGCTTGGCGGAGCGGCTCTAGGAGCCACATTCTCCCCACTGGCTTCCTGTCCAAACCCTCCCTATTTCTCTTCCACCTAACTGGACGCCAGAATGCTCCAGTCGGAACAAAGTCAGGAACTCTGGGCATCTCCCTAAGAAATTTCTCCCCTCTTAAACTACCTGCTGTTTCCCCGGCTTAACCGTAGACGAATTAGATATTCGTCCCTAAAAAGGTAAATTAAGTGCCGCCTGCACCAATTTTAGGTAGATGGCAACCACCCTTCGCTGGGATCAAACCTTACCAAATAACCAACTACCAGACCATCAAAACGTCCCGCCTGTCATAACTGATGCCACCCTTCCTGGTCTCCCACCCGGGGCATTTTCGCCTTGAATTCCGACTTTCCGAAGCTATGGTGTTCCTCGTCAGTGACCCGAGATTAAGGCTTTCGAAGAGCTGGACTCACGGGAGCTAAGCAGGGGTACCAGCCTCTGAACCCCGGAGAGTTTTCAGTGCTCTCCTGAAGTTCCCGCCCTACTGGAGCCCACCTGCCCCTCCTCCCTCCAACCCGCCCTGGAAGATTTACCCATCTGTACTCCCATCGCACCGGGACGGAAAGTGGACACTGGTTACCTGGAGGAACTTGCCAGTGCTTCGAGGCGCCCGTATTCCGAAGGTCCAGAGGGGAGGTAGGGGGAGGGTTGCGCCTTTACAGGCGTGCAGAGAGCGCGTGGCGAGCAGAAGAGGAGGGTGTCTGAGAGGGACATTCCCTCAGGCCCGCCCCCACCACCCCCGCTGTGAGGGCGCCCCAGGAGCAGCGCGCTGCCTGGCCTGGCTAGGGCTGCTACGTGAATGGAGCGGCCGAGCATTCAGGCTCCTCCTCCTTCCCGGCCGCCAGCCCCTCTTATTTGAGCTTTGGGAAGCTGGGGGCAGCCAGGCAGCTGGGGTAAGGAGTTCAAGGCAGCGCCCACACTCGGGGGCTCTCCGCATCCCAACCGCTGTCCGCTCCCCCTTTCCCGCCCTCCCTCCCACTCACTCACCCACCCACCCAGAGCTGGGACGGCAGCCTAGAAGCCGGACCCCGCCGCCTCCTCGCCGCGATCCTGGACTTCCTCCTGCCACAGGAGCCGGCTTCCACGTGTGCCCCGGAGCCGGCGTCTCAGCACACGCTCGGTTCAGAGCCCCGGTGCCTTCAGCAGCCCGAACAGCCAGGGGGCGGAGGCCCGGGCGCCATCTGGGGCAAGTTAGGCTCGGCCGAGTCCAGCGCCGATCGTCCTCAGAGCCGGAGGACCCGTGGGGTGTCTGGGTCCGAGCCGCAGCTAATGGGCTCCGACGTGCGGGACCTGAACGCGCTGCTGCCCGCGGTCCCCTCACTGGGTGGCGGCGGCGGTTGCGCGCTGCCAGTGAGCGGTGCAGCGCAGTGGGCGCCGGTACTGGACTTCGCGCCCCCGGGCGCATCGGCTTACGGTTCCTTGGGCGGCCCTGCTCCGCCGACCGCTCCGCCGCCACCCCCGCCACCGCCTCCGCCTCACTCCTTCATCAAACAGGAGCCGAGCTGGGGCGGTACGGAGCCGCACGAGGAGCAATGCCTGAGCGCCTTCACGGTCCACTTTTCTGGCCAGTTCACTGGTACAGCCGGAGCCTGTCGCTATGGACCTTTCGGTCCTCCCCCGCCTAGCCAGGCGTCCTCCGGCCAGGCCAGGATGTTCCCCAACGCGCCCTACCTGCCCAGCTGCCTGGAGAGCCAGCCCGCTATTCGCAACCAGGGTAAGTGGGTTAGGGAGCGCCCTCTACACGCGGGGCAGTGGCCCCAGGGCTCTTGCAGCGCGCGGCCTCCCTTGTCTCCTACCCCTTCCTGACTCTAGCTCTTACTCAGTTGCCTCCCCAAGGGCCATGAGAGTAGCGGAAGCCGCGGCAAGGGAAAGAGTGCATGCCGGCGCGGGCTCCCGACATCCTCCCCTGCCTTGCCTGACAGTTCGCATGAGCCGGGAGGCCATCTGGGGTCCCTAGAAGCGCGGGAGTTTGCGGCACTGAGAGTCACCAAAGAATGGAAAGAGGGGACTGGTGCAGTTTTTGGCTTTGTCTCCGGAAGAGAGAGGTCTTATAGCTCGGGGCACCACCAAATTGCCACCAGGCATTGAGTTTGTTAAACATCTAGGCTGCGAATTCCGACTGGGTCTAGCATAGGATGGATTCACTGTGCGCCTCCGTGGCGCCAAAATGTACAGGAGCATCCCAGCCCTTCCTACCGTGTGGGTTCTCGTTAGGTGCACAATAAGTATCAGGGAGCCCTAGCATGAGTGGATGGGCACTAACTAGATGGCTTTTGGGAATGGTAGAATAGTGAGACTGTATCCAGGACTTGGCCAGGCGCCGGCCACGCAGGCTACGGGGATGGAAGAGAACCCGGCTTGTCGGATTCTAATCTTGGTGGGACCAAGTCCTACCATAGGCAGTGGAATGAGGCCCAAACGTCCGCCTGCCTTTCAGAGTTTCCTCGTCACGTCCACGTCAGGGACCTAGGCACACAAATATGTGGCTTTCTCATCCCGCGCTGGTGCTTCCAACAAGTCTCTTTCGCCAGACCCAGCGCGGACCTCCCCGTGCTAAGCCACTGCAATTTGGCTTACTCACTTATTCTCATTTGATTTTTTTTTAATGTTGAGAATTGGAACTAATTTGGTTTGATTCACTATTTTAGAAAATGCTTTAGTAACACAATGGCGGATGCTTCCCCTGGAGGAAAACCTCGTGCTGGCCTAAGGAGTGGGATGTTTCTGCAATGCGTGGGATGGGAGAAGCAAAGCGTGTACTGTTTGCTGGAAGAGAGAGAAAGGCTCTCTTCTTGCATCCTTCTTCCGAGCCTCCTAAGCGCGTGTCTTGAGGCCATTCCTACCTTAGCCCAATCGGGAGCACCTGGCCCATCCAAAGCCCTGGCGAAACCGAAACCGCCCTTTTCACAGGCAAACTGGGATCCGTGTCCTGTAGAGGAACCTTGAGCAGACCCAAGGGGTTCCTTCACTCTAGATCTTTCATAAATGAAACTAGCGTTTTGTACCCAAGCGTTGTTGAAACAGCTTGGTGTCATCGCAAAAGCCCGTGTTCTCAGATCCTGCCACCTCTTTTTAGCAGGCAGGTGTCACCTGTGGCGAATCTCCCTTCCAGGTCTGTTTGCTAATCTTTAGAGGAGAGCTGAGATGGGTAACTTGGGTTTTTGGGTTGGACAGAAGTTATATGCAAAGGGGCGGAAGCCTGATTGCCCCACACATGGAGCTCTTAAATACAGAATGCTGCAGGCACCTAAACATCACTGGGTCAAAACCATGGCAAGGTCAGGCAGGTGTGTGATGTGGATGAGCCTGTGTGAATGTGTGCTGTTTGGAGAGGCTGGAGAAGGCTCTGATCTAACACCTGAGGTACAAAATACTACTGAGGCGGTCTTTTAAAGTTTTTTTTTTAAAAAAACTTTTATTTGAGCCCACTGGGCTCTTGTTGAAACCTGGTCTCTTGGTGCTTTGGTTTGGGATGCTGTAATCAATGTTCTTCACTGCCCTGATCCCAGTCACCCATCATTGGGGAGTGGGACTGTGGACTTAACGCTTATGGGGAAAAATCTGGATTCCTCTCCAGTACACAGGCCAGACTGCCATAGAGAAAAAGGACTTGGCAACTGAGGACCAGGACTAGCAGGTGAACAAGTGTTTCCACCACCCATTCCACTTGACTAGGGTCAAAGCCTGGAAGTTTGGTCCTATGGAGCTTAGGTTTTCTCTTAAGAAAGAAACAAGGAGGTGCCCACACCCAGCCCTTTAGGCTCATCTTGGCATCTGGTTGCTGGAGTGAGATGTTGAGAAGCCCCTCTACCCTCCTACAGGAATAAGCAACAAGGGCAGGCCCTTGAGGCCTGAGATTCCACATTTATTCTTTTGATTTTCAGGGTTCCTGTGGCTCCCCCCCAGGAATGCAGGCTTGGCCTGAAGCTTAAACTTGAAGAAACAAGGGTGTCAGCTCTTTGCGAAAGTGTGAGAACATCCATCAGCTAACCAAGCCCAAACTCCAGGGGAGAGGAATCCAGGCTGTCTCTGGTTCCCTGTCCTCCAGCAGGGTAACCTAACCATGGCCACAAGCCAGGGCACTTGCTGGCACCCACTCACCTCTTCCAAAGTTTCTTATAAGTACATCCATATTTTCCTATTTAAGTATAGCTGGCATCTCAATCTTCTAAACATTAATACACATCAAACCCTAGTTTGTTTCAGGCACTGGAGATGATTGCTTATTAAGACAATTAACGGTTGCAAGAACCTTTGCAAGAAGCTCACAGCAGGACACTGAAGGAGCGTCCTTATTTCTGAACAAGGAAATAGAAGTTAAGGGGCTGAGAGTAGGTGCTTGTCAGAAGTCTCAGGTTTTGACAGAGCTGGGGCTTGAACTCATACCATTCTCCTGTGCTTTTCCTAGGATCTTGACTCCACTGTTGAGATGAATTTTCTCTGGTTGGTTGGCCAGGCACTAAACTCGTTGACTTTGTGCGTGGTGGGGTGGGGGTAGGAGTTGTTTACTAGTCAGCGCCTAATCCTTATCCCCGCTGGTGCGCAGGACCTTAGCACAGGGTAGGTCTTGGGATCACCAGGCTACCCTAGGGTCACGTGGAGAGACCAGCTCTGCCCCAAGGCCAAAAGAGCCCCTCTGAGGTCACATAAAAGAGGGTATTTCGTTGGGGGAGAAATTATTCCCGAATTCCAACGCAGATACAGCCATCTTTTTTAGCCTTTCGAGCACCTTTGGCTGGGCCTGCTTGCCTTCTACTCAGCTTCCCAGGGGCCCAGCCAGGCCAGGCTGTTCTAGGGCTCCTTCGCAGCCACGGTGGGGGGGGGAGGGGGAAGGCGGGGTTGGGGGAAGGGAGGCTCAGAGCGCGTCTTGCCTCTCCTCGCGGTCAAGGTTGCGCTCCCCTCCCGGGCCAGGGCTAACCGTGGGAAAGGCGCTACCTTGGCCGCCAGGGCCTCTCCCAGCAAGGCCTGTACAAGGAGCCTTTGAACACACTGCTCCTTCCCGCCGGCAGCTGTCCCTCCCCCGGCTCCCGCCTCCGCTCTCCGCGCGGGGCCGGGGGACAGCGAGTACTAATCAATCCCGCGTCCGATAAGCGTCTAATTAAAAGAGCCCTCCCTCTGCTCGGCGGGCGCTTTCATCACTGCCCCTCCCGGGAGACCTAAGGGAGGGGTTCGAGGCCAGCCGCTGCCAGCCAAGGTCTGATCATTTTGTCTGGGAGGGGGGCTTGGGGAGCCTCCCCGACACCGGCATCCTTGAACAGGAGCTCTGGGGTGTGGAACCGACGCGGCCGGCGCGGAGCTGCAGCCCACCCAGGACCCGCAGGCCACACCGCACCAATCGTTGAGGAGCGGGTCTCCCAAGACTGCACGGGGGACCTGGGGTCATTGCCTGCTTACCTGCTCAGGAATGGAAAAGGGTTCGTTTAGAGAAATTTTCTTTGTCGCTTTGATATTCCCTCTTTATTTAAAAAGATGTTCTTTCAGAAATTCGGCCTTTCGTCTCTGGGCAAAATTGGACTCCAGAAGCCAAATTTCGTTTGTAAACTGATTTCTAGGCCCTAAGGAAAGTCAGACCTCTACTCCCAAAAGGAAGTTTCTGGATACTCAAGAGTGCTCACCCACGCCTGGGAGCTAACTGTGCGGGGGGGGGGTTATCTTTACCCACTTAGCAGGCGAGAAATGGAGGCCCTCTGGGGTCACGCAGCTTAAAAAACTGTTTGTTTCTTAAATCACCGATCTGCGCCGCCCTGCGGTGCGTGAGACTTTTAAACGTGACCTGTACCACCGGATAATTTAAGATTTGCCCCTTCCCCTCCCTCTCACTCTGAAACACCACCATCTGGATGGTGCCTTTATTGCCCCGGAGTGAACGATGGAATCTCGATTTGTGTGGGGAAGGGGGGGGGAGATGGGTAGCTCTGTTTTGAAGATGGAGGTAACCAGCCTTCTGTCACTACTTTTCGTGAACACTTACTGCACAATCTTGATCGTACTGCACAAGAGTGGGAGAATGTGAGCCGTTTGCCTTACTTCAGCCCCAGTAATTTTGTGGGGTTTAGAGACAAGTTGGAAGGAACCGAGGCTGGCAGGGAGGGAGCCGATTTGAGCGTCCTGCGCCTCTCATTTGCCAACTGGCTTGGACTTCGGGCCACAAACTTTGGCGCTTGAACATAGGAAGAGACTCCACCCTAGGGTTTGGGTTTTAGGATGATATTTAGATAGGACGCTTCTCCCCAACCCCCTGAGGCGCTAAACAGGTCTAGAAACTGGCGTGTGCGCGCGGGGGTGGATAACAAGTTTGAAGCAGTTTAATAGCAATAATCATAAAAGACTGCGTTTTTCAACCGAGACACCGCACCGCTTTGTCTCGGTTTCTCGGCTGCGAAACTGAGTCAGAGAGCCCAGACATTGCGGCGAAGGGGAAAAGATGTACATACAATATCCCGCATACGCACATTTTAAAAGAAATTGGTTTTCTGGCCTGTGGAGTGGGAAAGTTGACCACCTCAGCAGTGGTCACAGTCAAAGTCCCTAGGCGCCAGAGGAAGGGTGCGATCTTCCCCGCCCCCCACGAGCTTTCCCGAGGCCCTTGGGTGTTGTGGTGTTGTGTTGGGTTGTGCAGCCCCAGGCAGATAACGTTACTCGGTAATTACTCTCCCATTTAAAGCGCAGGCCATTTAGCTGGCTCCTAGTAATTAATGAAAGTTGGTGCGCGGGCCCCTGATTTACAGCTCGGAGTCAGCGCGGGGTCAGCAGAGCAGATTCATTTCGCTCACCCGCGCTGCCCCTGCACGAAAGCCTTGGTGGGTTTTTTGTTTTTGTTTTTGTTTTGGGGGGAGGGGAACAACTTTCTCCGTCGAGCAGGCGACGATTTTTATACCTGCCAGAGGTTCGGTGTAGAGGACGAGGCATAAATAAATTGGAAAACAGCTGGGAGCTCAAAGTTTTAGTCGCAAAAGAAGTCCCGATGTCACCCCCAAGGCTTGGGCCCGGCTTCCCGCTGAAAGTCCTAGAGGCGGTTAGTCCGGTGGGGCCCGAATAACCCCAGGCTGAAGACCGGAATTTGGGGGTCAGGCACCCCTCACCCCGTGTGACTCTGATTCTGATTCAGACCCATCGCCACTGCCTCCCAAGTGCCCCGCTGACGCTGTGCCTCTATCTGCCACTCCTGCAGGATACAGCACGGTCACCTTCGACGGGACGCCCAGCTATGGTCACACGCCCTCGCACCATGCGGCGCAGTTTCCTAACCATTCCTTCAAGCACGAGGACCCCATGAGCCAGCAGGGCTCTCTGGGTAAGCACCACCCACCCCGGAATTTGTAACTCCTACCAGTCTGGGAGAAGAGAGAGTATCTAAAGGCATCTAGGAAATAATCAGCGTAGTCACACTCTATTTAAAAGAAAAGATGGAATCTCCTTCCATCCCAAGTACGTTAAGTGCCACACAAATCAAGTTTACCAATGTCCGAGGGTCTTTGCCGCGCGCCACGAGGTGACTGCTAAGGGAAAGAAAGCGAGAAGCTTTTAGCTTATGGTGTGGGCGTCTTCGCTGGGGACGACCGGGCATCCAGGCCCCAGTGCCCTTGGGTCAACATCTTCTCCCCCAACCGCCTGCGCACTGCCCCGCATCCCTGGCGCGCTCTCACTCTGGTCCCTGCTCTCTCCCAGGCGAGCAACAATACTCCGTGCCGCCCCCGGTCTATGGCTGTCACACCCCCACCGACAGCTGCACTGGCAGCCAGGCCCTGCTGCTGAGGACGCCCTACAGCAGGTAAGAAGACGCTGGGCACCGGGTCTGCATCCCTGCGACCCTGGAGGGGGTGCGCGAGTGGGAGGCGTGGGTCCGGAAGGTCAGATTCCTCGCAGCGCTGACCGCAGGCGTGCGGGATCTTGGAGGCAAAGGAAGTCTTTGCCCCATCCAGCCACTTAAAGCAAATTAAAACAGATTTCCTTTGTCTCCTGGTTCTTGTTTTGAATATAAAAGAGGGCAGTTACTGGAGGGACCAAATACTAAATACAGGTTCCACTCCCACTCTGTTCTTCTCAAATCCCTCCGTGCCCACTGGCTACACGCTACAGAACGCTTAGACTGCAAGGATGGTCGGCCTCAGCCCCGCGCACCTCAGCGGTCTACAGTTTTGACCTGCTGCAGTGCTTGGTGGACGTCATTTTCAATGCCACGGGTGTGCGCTAGGGCGAGACTCCATCCTAGGTGCGGGGTGATGGTCCAGGCTCAGCAGGGCCCTGTGGGAAGAGAGTGCCTGCCCACCCGCGCTCTTCTTATTGTAGGGAGGAGAAAATGCAGCTTTTTTCGCTTCTTCCCGCCCAAGCTTTCCCCTCTCCCGCCTCTCGCTCCACTCCACTCTCCCCCAAATTTATTCTTCAACTTTGGGTGAACTTGGCCGGCATCCCGCGTCTCCGATAGGGTTGCTTAGTAACTGTGGCGCACACACCGGCCCGCGCCCGGGCGGGAAGGTGGGGAGGAGGCTGGGAAGTGGCCCTAGCGCCCTTTGCGGCAGGGGATTGGGTGCACATTACCTCATAGTCCTCCCTCCCCCGGGTGCGTAGTGATCCTGACACCGACTGCCCCCAACCCATCCCCATCCTCCCGCCCCTCCGCGCGGGGACCCGGGGCTGACGTCAAGGGAAGGAGGTAGTGAGGTAATGAAGGAAGGAAAAGCGCCTGCCTTGGGAGATTGGGTGGGGGAATGGCTGCGCCTGGGGACCTCCTGTCTCGCAAGTGGAGGAGGGGCACGGCGCGTGCGTGCTCATGAACCCGCAGTGGAGCATCCCAGTATCCTGGCTGCACTTTATAAGATTGAGCCTGGGACTGGTCTGACTCACCAGGGACTCGAATCCATCCTGGGAGTTTCTAGAAAGGTACAGGGTTGGGCCTTTTATATTTTTGACTCCTGGGGCGCGCGGACTTCGGAAACTTTTCTTTTTGATCCGAAAATTCGGCATATCTAATATCGGATCTTGGATTCCGCATCACTTTAGGGGAAGGAGGCAGAGAAGTGCACTGGTACAAACAGAACACACCCCCACATCCTTTCTGTTCCTCCCTAGCTAGAAACCAATTCTATTCCGGCATCTCAGGACCAGTGTTCTGCCCTAAGCCCGCTATCTCATTTCTCCTCAGTGGGTCAAGTCACTGAAATGGGTACAGAATTAGCACCCTTCTCTGTTGCAAACCTTCTTTCTTATAAGAAAGGTGACAGCTGAGTCGTTGACATCCTCCTAGAGCAGAGGCTCCCACCTATTGTCAGGGTGTCATTGTTCTTCTGTCATTGTTCTTCTAGTGGCCATGAGGGGGTCAGCTGGAACGGAAGACCTTGGCCCACTCTCCCTCCTTGGCTCCTTGGGTGGACCCAGCCGGGTTCTCAATCCAAGGAGGAAGGCCTTGATGTGGGAGCCGGCATTGTTGAGATGGGTCGGATACCACCTGGGGGGGGTGAGGACCAGGAGGCTTTGCAGACATTCCCCACCCCCCTTTCTGCTGAGCCGAGACCCACTCTGTGGGACAGTAGTAAGGGCTCATAAGAGAGGCGGAGCAGCCCAGAAAGAGAAGGGGTGTGTGATAAATGATCACAACCATCGTTTAATAGCAGTTCTCCAAATGGAATCCCTGTGATGGATTTTGACTTAGGACTGAGTTTGTGGTTACTGTGGAAATAGGGAAAAAGTTACCTAGACCGCTAAATTTTTTGGTGCTGGGCCTCAAGCCTGCTCAGCCCCCATTCTACCACTGAGCTACGTTCCCCAGTCCCCAGCTTATATTTTATATATAAAACTTTTGCATTTTCCCATCCAGTCACTAACCGGCCCCTGCAGAAAGCAATTTTGTCAGATTCCTCTTTCAGAAATACTTGGATATCCCTTTCTTCTATGTAATTCTAGAACTTTTGTTGGTCTTATTTTTCCACACATCTCATAAAAATACCTTTTTCTCCTGTTACAAAAATTTTCTAAGTAGAAACTCCTAAAAAAATTGTGATTTGTGTAGGAAAAGAGTTTGGTCCTTTGAAGTGTACACTCTGCATCTTTGAAGCTCCATCCACCCCAAATTCACAGCACTGCCAATCACTTCCCCAAGGTCTTCTCCCTCCTGCGCAGTAATGATGAATGGGCAGATGTTGGATATTCTAAAATTGGACCTGTGTTCCAATATTACTGCAGTTATTTGGTTGCCTTCTTTCCTATTTCCAAAGACATTCTAAGGGTATCTAAAGGCTTTTGTGAATGCAGTGTTTGAAAAGCATTGGAAACAGGTCTACACTTTTACTTGCTTAATGGGTTAAGGTTTGAATTTTGGGTATTCTGTGGTGCTTCCACTGGTCCCAGGGTCTGTTCTTTTTTCTGTCTACAATTGGGGCCTCCTGAGAAAGACTGGCTGGTATTTTGATTGCATTGTTGCATTTGGCCTCCTGTGGCAGACTGCTCAGCTTTTTTTTCTCCTGTTCTACTCCCATACACAGCTTTTGTCTCCCCAGTCTTGGGACCTAGGTTCCTTCCCCAACCTGAATTAGAGTATCTCTGAGACTAAATAAACGGTGAACAGTGTGAGTTTGCTCTTCCCTTGTTCCTTGCATAACTCCCTTCCCGTTCAGGTAGCAGTCACCTTATGAAAAGTGATAGGAGGTGGTTTTCCCTATCCTCTCTAGCAGCTCCTCCATCCCCACATATTGAAGGTGAGTAGAGTTTTGTCTGAACATCACTAAAGCTTCTGACACCAGATGCTGGTTCCTTCAGAGCCAAGTGATCATAGTTGGGTGAAAAGATGATTCTCTGTAACATGATAGCCAGGATTTATTGTATACTGACTGTGTGCTCTTGGGCACTATGCTAAGTACTTCCTTTAGTTCACTCATTTAATCCTCTGGCTACTGTATGAGTTAGGTACTATCATCTGCAGTTTACTGACGAAGAAGTAAGTTCAGAGTCTCCGGTGTAACTCACTCAAGGTCACACTCAGCAAGAGTCAGAACCAGAATTTGATTTTCAGTCTTTTTTGACTTCAAAACCCAGCTGTGCTCTGAATTAGAGTGATTCCGAACACTCATGTTCCTCACCTGACTTGTCCCCCACATAGTCCATGCCAGCACTGTTGGTTGATAAAGAAGTACAAATGCTTATGATTTAACTGGCGGCTGTGATCAGAATTTATATTTCCAGCTTCTGCTATCATGACCCTGTCAGTTCTTACTATGAGCCACGTGCCATGGTAAGCACCTTACTAGTATTGATTCCTTTTATCCACATAACAATACTTTAAGGTGATCAATATGTTTTTGTCACTTCCTGTTTACAGAAGAGACCCTGAAAGGTAAAGTTCCCCATTGTGACACAGTAAATTCAGATACCAAGGCTTCAGAATCTCTTCTCCTAGCCTCTGCACCCTGCTCCCTTTCACCTGGCTAGGTGCCCTTCTCTTTCTGAAGATGGCATCTGCTTCTGTCTTGCTAGAGGACTGACTTTACTTCCCACAGTTGTGAAAGTCCTACTAACCATTTGTTTTACCCATAGCTCTTCATAGGAAGCTCTTAATAGTTGGGAAACTGTTTTTCCTGTTGGGTGTTGTCAGAAACAGATTTGCGCTTTCTCCTGAAATCCTTACAAAGCAGCTGTTTTGCAAACTCCAGTCTCCTCCAAGTTTACCTTTACCACTGGGCATGAGGTACACAGCATTTTCACATAGTACGATCCTGCTGTTTGTTTCCTGCTATGTAGGTAGGCAGAAGTTGGTTTCCAGGGTGGTAGGGCAGTATTGTTGAAGCTGCAGGCTTGAATTGAACCCGTCTCCAGGGAGGGGGAAATATCTAGTTCCAAGTATTCCTGTAACTTTTGTGCTGTCCCAGTGTTTATTAATAGAAATTGAATCCCCAGTGGGTTTTTCTTTGGTTAGCTGGAGAGCTTAAGAGAAATTACAATACCGAGAGTGTCTATGAAATAATTATTCACCGTGGCCTGCTGGGCAGAAAGTTCAGTCAGGGCAGGCAGCCTCCAAGGCGCCTTGAAGGGAAGAGAGCAGGAAAAGGGCTGCGTGGATGTCTGCATGAGCCTCTCTGGGTGCGCCTTGCTTGGCAGGTAGAGGCAAAGCCACAGAGGTACCCGACAGGGTCATGATAGCAGAAGCTGGAAATATCATAAATCCTGCTGGGCATTTTTTCCCTCAGTCCTGTGGGGAAACTTTACTTCTGCTAAGATGCCAATTTGGACAGCCAACACATGGCAGAAGAAACCCTAATCTCAAGTAAGTTAGATGGCTCTGTTCTAATGGTGACACAAACCTTTCTTTCTTGTTCTGCTGAATATAGTAAACACACTTAAAGATGAAAACATATTTGAGTCCCACATGCATTTGAAGAGTGGAGGAGTTCTGGTCTAGATAATAGGTTTTTTTTCTTCCTTTCTTTTTGTGCAGAGGTCGAGAACTCAGTAATACTACAGTCCAGGCCAAAACAAACTCTATATGATCTACTACTGACTTCCTTTTAAGTTCCCCTTTTTGCTAGACTGACTTCCTTTTATTTTACTCCAACTTGCATTAATCCCAGTTATAGAAGTTTCTTTCCTCTCTCCCTTGCCTCTAACTTCAAACATTTCTTATATAGGAAACCAGTGACTTTAAAAAAGTGAACTACTTAAAAAATATAAAGGATACCACGACTTTCAGAATATATTTTGGCAGCCTGCAGTTTCAGAGTTCACTTCCGAATAGGTGGAGTTAGACGGTTGGAGCTGAAATGTCTACGTGACCACTGTGGTTGCTGTGAACCAGATCACTTGCTTATCTGATCTCCTCTGGGAATGAGGTGGTTGACACCTACAGTGGTCATTTGATAATTAGATGCTTCATTTGCCAGAGGCCTTACTTTTCCTGAATGGGGCTGCCTCTTTCTATGGGCTTCCATGATGAGAGCTGGGTATTGACTGATTGCCCAAAGAGATCATGCTTAGGTTTAGTATTTTTAGCTCAAGTTCAAATTCGGTTCTCTTTCTAGCAGTAGTTATTGTCATTGCTGTCACTGACTTCCAGAGGAAAGGTTATGCCAGCCAGGCCGGCTCACTGAGCCACTCAGAGCCCCAGTCAGCAAAAGGCAGGATGTGGTTAAAACTGTGCTCTGATTCTATCTCTGGCCTCAAGAAGCCTATTAGTAGCTTGGGATTTTCTGAAAGTCCTTCTCTTCTATCCACCTTCCCCACCTTCTCTCCTCTTTCAAGGGTTTGCAGGCTGAGCTTACCGGGACAAGTTGAATCATAAAATGGGGCTCCTACTGGGATCTTAGGTAACAGAAGAGGATTTGTTGTCCTGAGTGAGATGGGGAGGCTACTGTGGCCATCACTGCAGTTTCTTGGAGACAGAGTTGGTTGTGATGTTCCTGGGAGCATGTGTGCTTTCACCTCTTTCACTTCTTTTAGAAGAATCTAAAGAAGAGCTTCTTCTTCATTACTATTGGTATTATTATTATTATTATTATATTTGAGTGGTAGTCACAGGACTAGGTCCAGAGGTCAGATAATCCCAGGTTACCTCCAAAGGGCAGGGCATGGTGGCATTAGTCATGCCAGCTCTGTGCCTCTCTTGAGTCCCAGCCCTCATCTGATAAATGGAGCTCATGCTTATACCTACCTCACAAAGTTATAGGAGCCATTGAGAATGTGTGAAACTGCTGGGAAAAATCTGATAGGTTAGAAAAGAATTAAAACATTATCTGTATCATCTTCAAATTGCCACTGTGGGCCTTACCTTCCTCGAGCCTCAACATCCTTGTTAAGTGACACTGAGATTAATATTCTCATTTGACAGGTGAGAAAACTGAAGTGCAGAGAGCTGAACTGGGATTTTTCTCAGTGTCATAAAATACCATTTTGAATAGAAACATACATAATAGAACCATCGAATAGAGCCATACATAATTTGAAATTTGCTACTAACTGTATTAAAATAGGAAAAAATGGAATTAATTCAAAAATACTGTACTTTACTCAATATAACCAAAATCTTATTTCAATGTGTGTCACTAGCCATGTTTCTACTGCTTAATAGCCATCTGTGGCAGGTGACTACCACATTGGCAGCACAGTGCTTATTAAGGTCCAAGGAGGAAGATACATATATGTAAGACATGGGCCATATATTTGAGAAAGTTTGCTTTCTGGGGACCAAGGAAATGCACTTAAAAATATTTCCTCTTTGAGATTCTTCTAGATAGAGACCCTTCAGAATCAGTGGACTTCTAAGTCTTGTGAGAAAAAAACCCGAAATCATAAAGTTGGATATTTAGTATTCACTTATCCTTGTGCATTAACTTACGTCGTTCATCCTGTTCCCCAGAAACAAGATGAAAATTACCATATTCTTAATCGTGTGCAAAGATTGAATAATTTCAGAAAGCTCTCATATCCCAAAAGGGCCCAGGAAAATTGTCACCAAGGGCTGAGTGATTTTAGTTAGTGAACAATTTTTTAAAAATTAGTGACAAAAATATAGAGCTACCTGGGGAATACAATGCCTGTTGGCTGAGATTAATGGCAAGATTAATAAGTGGATTGCTTGATGAAAAGGCGCAGGAGAACAAAAACCAGTGGAGAGATTGTGGAGGAGGCTGCTTATTAATGAACTGTCAGCCCAAAGAAAGTTCAAGAAACTCTCCTGTGGTAAATGCAGCAGGCTGGCACTTCTAATAAAAGTTGGGGTCCTTCAGGAATTAATTACACCAGCCTTCCAGCAAGAATTTGTGGAATTGCAAAATTCAGTGGCACAGACCGGCACGGGCCGCTGCCGCTAAAGAGGAAGCTGCAGGAGAAAGCAATCATTTTTTCATTGATATGTAGGATATTGTAGTAGCATAATAGCTAGTCAGACATGGGGATGAATGATGGGGTGCAGATATACACTGACTAATGAAACTACACATACTTCCAGTTTGAAGTCACTTCACTTTTCATATGCAAAATTCCCTCTTGGAATCTGATTTCCTCCTATCCTGTGTACCTGACACTAAAGAGTTCTAAATAATTTTCAGAGTGATGATATGAGAGTCAGATGGACTCTCCCATGATTTATTAAGCTATGCCAATAGAGCGCACAGTATTCATTTATTCTGATTTGCTGCAATTTCTCTCACCCCTGCACGAGTTCTCAGTTCAGTTGGCTCAAGAAAACCCTCTCTGCATTAAAAATTCCTGTTCCTCTGCCCGATGAAGTAACCAAAAGGAATGCCATGACAAGACAGAGATTGTCCAGGATTTGCGATCTGATATCACACATTAGATACCGAATGCTTCTTATCTCCTTTCACTTCTGCCATGAAGGTAGAGTGAAATTTTTTTTGGTAATGTGTTTAGACCAAAGGTTCCCAGACAAACCATTAATCTCTTGGGTCTCAGATTTCATAATTAACCATTTCAGTTCAGGTCTAAATTTATTCCTAATAGAACTTGGTAATGTTGGAGGTCTCTGGTACTTGGTTGATGTGCTAGTTTTCTAGGAATGAGATAAATAGAAAGGGAAAAGAACATCAGTGGCTGGTTGTTTTCTCCTTTGGGGTCTTCAATGTAAATTTTTCCTTTTTCTCCCTTCGTTTTTGGATTTTTTCAAACTTCACTTGTACCAGGATTGTAAAACCAATAGGAATTATTCCTTCAACTTGCAGAGATTTTTATCATCCTCTTTTTTTTGTTTGTCACATATCCGTGTATTAGTCCATCTATCATCCATCATGCTTTGACTTTTCAGGCCCTCATAAGCCACACGATGCTTATCCTTTTGATTCAAACAACTTAATGGCCTTTTCACGAATAATTAATCTGCTGTCTTTTTACTCTCAGCTCCAGGCTTTTAACTTTAATGTTGAGTTATCCAGCCTGTGTTGCCTTTCAAAGTCTCACTCCCTTTAGCCTCTTCCCCTCCAATTTTAATACCTTTTTAGAAACGCTGTTTACTATGTAAGGTGTTTTTTTTTTTTTTTGAGACAGAGTTTCGCTGTATAGCTATATATCCCACACTGGCCTCAAGCTCACTATGTAGCCCAGACTGGCCTTGAGCTCAAGATCCATTTGAATGTTGGGGTTACAGGATGTGCCGCCATGCCTGCTTATGCTAAGTTTTTATTTATTTATTTATTTTTGGTAAAGCTTCCAAATTACTTTCATATCATCTCTGCTGTGTGTGAAGTGAATAACTGCAGAGGTCAGTGGGGTGAAATGAAAATCATTTCAGATGAGTATATTCTATCATTATGAAAAATGTGGAGGTTTGCAATTTTACATTGTTAAAACAAATTAAAATATTATTGCTTTTTGAAGAAACAATTGTGTGCATGTGTGTGTGTTTATGTGTTTCTAACTCTGGGTGTTTTCCAACAGTGACAATTTATACCAAATGACCTCCCAACTTGAATGCATGACCTGGAATCAGATGAATTTAGGAGCCACCTTAAAGGGGTAAGAACTTCACTCCATTGTCCTTCAATGGTAATGTACACCTGTTCAAACCATTTTTAAGGAACTGAGAGCTTGTGGAGGGAGTACAGTTGAGAAGAACGGGCATAGCTCTCTAGAGCACTAAGATGCTTTACTCCCTCTCCCAGTTGGTGGGTTGTGTGCAGCACTAAATTTTAAAAAATGCAAATAGTGGATGTTTTTGTCTGGAACTAGGGAATTGGAAATATTGGGCCTTTCCTTGCTGAATGTTTTAGAATTCTTCAAAGCTTTTGTGTCCATTTACTGTTTATGTTTTACTAGTGATATTGCAGATGTTAACCACACATTATCTTATCAAGAAATGCTGTGCATGTACAAAGTCCAGGATCCAAATTTGTAGCTGCGAGGTGATGATTTGAATAATCCAAAGTCAGATGTTCCCATTCCTGGTTGCACCAGTCATTTTTGCTCACACATGATACACAGCCACCATAGGAAGAATGCAGCTGCTGAATATAAGTAGAGACTTCTCTTTGCACACGAAGCAAAGAAGGCAGGTGGGGCTTTTAATTTCAAGTAAGTCTCAGGAGATGACAGGAGAATGTCACACTCTTGAAGTGCCTACGATCAGGTGCTCTTTAATCACCTCACCTTATCTTCCTAAATAACCTTATGATGTTTAGGTACTATTGCCTGTTTATAGATGACAAAGCCAAGCTCAGAGAGTCAAGACACTTCCCAGGTTCAAATCCTATTAAGTAGTAGAGCTGGGATTCCAAAGCTTAGGGTCTGTCCAGCTTAATCTGTGGTGCCTTCCACCCCACCACTGGCCCCTGTGGGACTAGGGACTTAGTTCAGCACTCTTGACAGCTAGCTTTGTGTTCTGTGTATTTCCTGGCTTCTCCCTGGATTCTGGGATCTGGGGGGCTGGCCAGAGCCATGCATGCTCCATTCCCCATCCCCTACTTCTTCTTCTCTTTTAGAGTTGCTGCTGGGAGCTCCAGCTCAGTGAAATGGACAGAAGGGCAAAGCAAGTGAGTGGACAATGGCTTTGTTGACTGACATCTGGGCAATGCAGGAGTTAGGAGTGACATGGGTAATCAGGATAGCTGTTGAGGGATGGGAAAACCTATGCCCACCCTGCTCCTGCCTCTTGTTTATCATAGACCGCAAACTTCATGGGCCACATGGAGTTGGTGACCTTTCCCATCAGTGTACCCCTGGAAAACAATTTTAAAAGCTATGCAACAGGAACCCTACTCATTTCCTTATGAATGTGTCACAAAACACTAAGTTTGTGGCATTAAACATGATTCTTTTAGTTCAGTAACGTCTTTCAGTCTTAATTCACTTTAAATTTCCCAGGGAGAACTTACTTTTTACCCCAAACCTGTGGCCAGTTTTTTTTTCTTTTTGAGTTTCTAAACATTTGTGCTTTCTCCAGCCTCATAGCTGTGTGCCAGGGGCAGTTCTGTAGCTATTTCTTTGGATTTTATTTTCTCTGCTTAAGCACCAGAAACATCTTTCTTCCTTCCTTCTTGGCTCAGTCCTGTTTCTTTTGTGTTTGTTTGTTTGTTTGTTTTTAATCATAGCTTCAGTAGTCAGCAGAGCTGCCTTTTCATCTTCAAGTCTTACTGTTAGATCTTTCTCTACACTTACAACCCCAGTTTTTCTGCTATTTTATCCAGATCTCCACTTTTTCCCTCTGGGTCAGAAGTAAAAAGCCCTCTGTAGCTTTGAAGTGCTTTTCTCCCCACTTTCATTTAAAGGGGCTACTGAAAATTTTAGCATTCTGTCTCTCTACCTGCTCTCAACTTCTCTTACATTTCTTGGCTTTTGGGTCCCACTGTTTCTTTCTGTATTCCTTCCTTTTCTTCTCTCTCCTCTACTCGGAATTTAGTAATGTTTCCCAGATTAAATGCCAAGAACAGAAAGAACACAATTGTGAAGGCAAAAAATGTTTCAATTTAAGACAATTTCTTCCTGTTGGAATACAAGGTTGGTTTGTTTATTTGACAACAAAAATACAGACAAGGAATCTTGGCCTGTGTTTGAATTGGAGCCATCCACAGTTGAGATAATTTTAATACTTTAAAGGTCTCTAGATATGTGAGAGTTGTCATTTGCTGAACAGTCAGAAACTGTCTTGTTAGAATGAAGTACAAAGTGTGAAATATTTGCTCAATCCTATATAAGGGAAAAAAGCTGGAAGAGTTTTTATTGACCTGCTACTTACATCTTGGAAAAGGATTTCTGAAATTAAAATGCAGTTTTGATTACTAACTTTCTTCAGGAAGCTATATAAAAAGGATTCATTTTTCTCAAGGGTGAGAAAAACCATGGTGGTAGATTAAAAAGACTGGTGATTTGATTCATGTCTTAAAGAAAAAAGACTTGACTCCAGCAAGTTTCTCTGTGTTTTAAGTTCAGAGGTACCTTTCATTAGTGTCAGGGAGCAGTGGTAGGAGGGGTGAGGACAGTTTTTTAAGTGGAATGTAGTGAGCTGAAATGAAAACATGACATTGTGGTGGTGGTGATATTCTTGATCCTCACTCATTCCTTTGCCTTCCTCTCCCTTTTTCTCATTTTCTCATCTCTGTGATCCACTGGAATTGGAGTTACTCTCATGACCTCTAATGAGAAAATCCTATGTTTCATTTTAAGTCAGAGAGAAGGTGGTTTATCTTTTCTTCCTCTTTCCCATAAACAAATGAAATTTGATTTTTAAAGTTGGATCTAGGAGAAAAGAATTGCTGGGGAATATTCTTTCTTTCTAAGCATTAAGCCACTATCATGCATACTTGCATTTATGATGTCTGTATTGTCTGCTTTTTATTTGTTGGAAAACATTTTTTGTGTGTATTCTTAATGGCTGCTGATTTCCTAAGGTTGTTAACAAGCCTTAGCTACCCAGTTGGCCTCTGTTTTGTCTCTTCTGAAGAAAATATCCTGCAAAATGGAGAAACACATCAACCTTGACTGTGATCCAAGTTATTAAAACAAGGAGGAAGTTACTCTCTGGGGACAAGGGTAGGGGGAGTGGGAAATCCAACACAATAGAAATGTAAAAGGAGTGCTGAACAAAATGAATGTCCCTTTGCTGGTCCAAGAAGTTCACAGGCTGTTAGGAACACACAGTCTTTGACCTGTGGATGCTTAAAGGGAAAAAGGGAGACTCACAATGAGTGATGGATGGTGAAAACAAAGCTGTGCATTTTGGTAGGGCCAAGGCTGTCGAATCTGGAGAAAATCCCCTCTAGACATGGTCTCATCCCTGAGAACCTGTGCCAAAAGAGATAGCTGAGGCTCTGGCTGGGAGCTCCAGTACACAGCCCGGCACCTTCCCTCGTGGGTTCCTGAACATAAGGTACCCATCCAGGAGATTTACTTCTTGAAAACAGATAGCCTGCTTTTAAGTGGCCCATGGAGCTTGAGATGCAAAACCAAGGTGAAGTGTCGGGAATAGAGCATTGCAGAGTGTGCTCCTGCATCTCTGCCTCAGCAGCAAGCTGGTAATTTCCCCCTTTCAAACAACTACATTTATGCTGTGGAAACACTTCTCTCTTTTTTTGGAGGTACTGAGATTTGAACTCAGAGCCTCTACCACTTGAGTCACTCCACCAGCCCTGAAACTATTCTTTCTCTTCTCTCTCTCTCTCTCTCTCTTTTTTTTTTATGGTGTTGGGATCAAACTCAGGGCCTCATGCATGCTGAGTGAGCTCTCTACCATTGAGCCACACTCCTGGCCCCACTTTCTTTATTGATGCCTTACATTTAGACTTGGCTGTGGTCTGATAGCTGTACTAGCAGAAGGAAGAATGGACTCCTGGGTTTGATGGAGTTGGTGACTTGTGACTTGGTGCTGTGTCTCCTGTCCTCTCACTTGAGGAAGACTAAGTCATAAGGTTCTTTACCTTTATGTCTTCCCTTCCTGTTGCAATTCCTCTCCTTCCACCTTTCCCACCCTTTTCTTTTGTATATATAGTTAACCAATATATGCATGTATTTATTTATTTTTGCTGTATGGGGCCTCAAGCACTCTACCACTTGGGCCCAGGCCCTAGCCCTTTTGTATTTTGTTTTTGAGATGGGATCTTCTCTCTAACTGCCCAGGCTACCCTCAAACTTGAGTTCCTCCTGCCTGCAACTCTGGAGAAGCTGGGATTACAGATGTGTAGCACCATGCCCAGCTAATATATTAACTTTAAAATTATGCAAGTAATTATGTAAGTTATAGGATCCTTAGAAAATATAACTATACAAGGAAGGAAATTATAACTCCCCTAATAGCTCAGATGAAATAATTATTAATATTGTGTTGCACATACTTTTAGACCTTTTTCTATGCATATATTTCCATCTGTGTTATTTTCCTTCTTATAAAAAATGTTTGAGCACTTCCTAGCAAGTATGAGGCCCTGAGTTCAAACTCCAGTACTGCCAAAAAATGTTTGACTTCAGCTTAGATCAAATTCATTCATTTATAGGCCATTATAAAGTTCTGAGTTTCTAACCATTATAAGAGTATTTTTTAAAAAAACATTCTTGGCCTCTTAAAAAAATACCTAATTTAAAAAATATTTGGAGCTCTGTGGCTTGTGTCTGTATTATGTTTAACTATTTTATTTTGTGCTTATCTCATAAACTGAGGGAAAATGGCAGATTTGATCAGATCATAAAGAAGCCACATAGGAAAGATAAGAAAGGAAGGTGGTGGTGAAGAGACCATCTTAGAATTGAGGATCATGGTGGTCTTTGCATAGGGAGATGACTGGGCTCAATGAGAATATTGGCTGGTTAATAAGGTACGTGCGTATACAGGCCTTGGAGGGGGAGAGGGTACATCAGGTGAGGGTGAGATGTCTCCATGACCCAAAGAATATTTTGGACCTCTCATGTCTGCAGTCTCATCCTGGCCCTTCTGAGACCCTCTGCTCACCATTCATCCTCTCCTTGTCATCTGTGCAAGAAAAGATCTAACCTCCAGCTAGAAAAATACTGATTTAGAATCTACTCTCATAAAAAGTCATCCAAATGTTTCTCAGAAATGAGGAGCTTCTGCATTCTTCAGTAGGTGTTTTTCTACTAAAAGTGAACAAGTTTGTTTATTCTAGCTTATTTTCCAATTCTTCATTTTTAAAACAAAGCCACAGATGAGTGCTCTATGAAGCTGAGATGGATACTTTATCTAAAACGAAAACAGCTTTCCTTCCTGATTAGAAAAGTAACATAGGCTTATCATTAAAAAAAAATTCAGACAGTGCAAAAACATTATAAAGAAGCAAAGTCATCTGTCATCTCACCAACAGAGATAATAAAAAACAAAAAACCCATTTTGTTGTGTATTGTATCTGTGGAGAAAAAAAATGCTGGAAATATTTAACTATCACAGTTACCTCAGTTAAAGGGAAGAGGTGAAGAAAGGCTAACAAAGATGGGTTTAAGAGATAATAGGGAGTGGCTTGGGTATAGTTCAGTGGGAAAGTGCTTGCGTAGCATGCGTGAGACCCTGGACTCCATCTCAGCACACTCCACACACACACACACACACACACACACACACACACACACACAGAGAGACAGAGAGAGAGAGAGAGAGAGAGAGAGAGAGAGAGAGAGACAGAGAGAGAGAAGATGGTGAACTGGGACTCAACAGTGCAAGATGGAAGGGCAGGGAAGAGCTCCATAGCTAGGATGGCCCATTTAGTAACAGTGTTGGTTTATAAGCATGCTTTGTTTTTTTAAATATATGAACTATAAATGTTTCCTCTAGTTTGTATGTTAGTTTTATCAGTAGATTTTTATTTTCCTGTCAGAAATTTGTTATTTTTATGGTAAAATTAGAAGTTTTGTTTCATAGTTTCAAATTTTGGGACTTTTATATTTTGCTTAAAAAGATTTCCCACCCCAAGCCTTTTTTAAAATTTATTTACTTGCCATTTCTGATATTAAAAATTAATTTAAGTACTTAACTCATCAAAAATCATTTCTTATTTTATGTTTTTCTGTGCGGGAACCCAAAGTTTTGTGCATG